GCAGTCCTGCTTCCAATGGTCTCTTTGACAGAGTGGGCACGGCATTTGCAGTTTGGAGCACCTACCCATAGGGCACTTTCAAAATGCCCCTCTCTGCCACAGAGGAAACAAGCCACCCAGAGCCCAGTCTCTGGGGCTGGTCTCCTTTTCTCCAGGCTTGGAGGCCCAAAGTTGACTCTTTGTAAGGCTATCACTAATGCCTCTGCTTTTCAGTTATCTTTCCTGTCTTGTTCCCTCTTTTCCTCCTCATCTCTATTATAGAAAACTGATGTGGCCACGTTCAGGAGGCTTTCCAGATTTTGTTCTGGGCTATATGCCAATTTTTGTAACTTCTTCCTGATATCTGGGGCCGATTGGGTGATAAATTTATCTTTGAGAATGACTTCGACCTCTAGGGACTCTGGGGACATATAAGAGGGCTTCAATATTGCCTCCCTGAGCCATTCAGAAAGGCTGAGGGGCTGTCTTTTTCTTCTTACATCAAGGCTGATAATTTAGAGTAATTTATAGGTTTTACTCATGCTCTTTTCAGCCTTTCTATAATACAAGTTATAAAATGGTTCCTGTACCAGTTATCAGCATTGTCTGTATCTTGACCCTACTCAGGGTCAGTGAATGGCACTGCCTTACATCCAGTGAGGACTCAGGTTAGCTCCTCTGGGGATTTGTCACCCACATTTATAGTGTACCATTCATCTCCAAGCTCTAGGGCTCTCCTGATCACTTTTTCTTTTTCCCCTCCTGTAAGGGTTTGGTTTAACAGAAGCATAACATCCATCTAGGCCAGCTCAAAAGTTAAAGTAAGCCCTTGGAGGGCTTCTATGTATTTGTCTGGGTCATCTGAAAATTTACCCATGTCTTGTTTAATTTGCCTCATGTCTTGGAGGGAGAAGGGGACATGGACCCGAGTTGGTCCCCACTTTCCACTGGCTACTTCCTGTAAGGGCAATAAGGATGGGTATAACTGTCTCTTCTTCACCCCCTGGAAAGCCTGGTGGGGTGTTTGGGCTAATGATGCTTGGGGTGGTAGTTCTCTTGTGGTCTGGCTTTTAGGGTTCTCAGCAAGTGGACTTAGATCTCGATAAGCTGGGCATGGCAGATCCAATGGGGGACAATTAGGGTTTGGAGTAGGGTCTGGAATTAATCCTCTTTTTTGTCATAGTCTTTTACTTACTCTAAGGGCAAAGAAAGCTTGTACATATGGGACTTCTGACTACTTTTCTTCTTTGTGGCAATATACATCTAGCTGCATAACTGTATTATATAGTATACTTCCCTCAGAGGGCCAACCTCTCCATCAGAGAGTTTTTATTGAGGCCAGGCTTGTGTGCAGAAGAAGATAAGGCACTTCTTTCTCAGGGTTTGGGGATTGAATTGCTCCCAGTTCCTCAGAATGCATGCCAGAGGCATGTCTGGCTTTAACCTTGAAGAGGATGCTCCCATCTGAAAGAGAGAGAGAGAAAGATGGGTGTCCAGCACCTGATTAGCCTCTTTCTCTCTAAGGGTGTCCCCTCACCTTGGAGCCTAGGTGACAGTGGTCAATCACCGCCCCTGCCAGGCCTTCTGGATTTAAGCACACCTTACCAGCATCACCTGCACCTTGCCTTGATTCTCCTCTTGCCTTCCCACTAAGCAAGAGTTGCCTCGGAGTTCTGGATTTTGTGGGACCTCACCAGTGTGCTCCAACTTTCCGCCTTTTGGGAGTTTCCCTAGTTTTCTCTGCACGAGTTTTCCTTGAGCGCCCCCTGCCTGTCTGATAAGTGCAGGGACTGTGTGACTTGCTGCTAGAGTCCTGATATAAGTCACAAGCTTGTTTTGCTTTCCTGGGGCTGCAGAAAAGTAAATGCCTAGCCCCAGGACGACTGCCTGTAGGGAAGGAGATCAATGGACTAGAGCCATTTTCATATTGGTCTCAGGTTTCAATTCGATTACAGAATTCATTTACATTACACAGGAGGAAGTGGTGCAGGCCTAAGAGGAATGCTTTGAATGAGGAACAAGGGAGCTTTTTGCGAAGGCCAGAAACAAAATTCAGGGGCTGCTACACACATTTATGGGTGGGGGTTCCATACTCTCAAACACGTTTCTGCCACTACCTGGAAATTATCCCGCTAGTCACCCACTGTAAGAAATCTGATCTATGAGACAAGAGGTCAGGTGTCATCTGCCACTCTCGCATATGCAGCAGCCTATTCGGAGGTTCCCTCAGTCCCATCGAATCAATGGGCTGGAGCCAAGATCCAAGGACCACTGTCTACTAGTCCAGTCTGCCCTTGGAGTCTGCAGATTAGGATGGGAAAGTAGGAAATCGGCTCAGCCACTCCCCGACATTCCTGTCCATCTGGAGGTAGGGGATCAAGGAGCAGCAGATACCAGGAAACATTTCACCTGAGACTTAAGACTGGTAGCTGATGCTAATCATCTGGAAGGCAGGCTGAAAGAGAGACACTCCTCATGGATACCCAGTTGGGCTGTCGGGGTCTGATTCCAGACACATGGACCTTTGAGAAGCCGCTGAAGTGTAGCCTCAGCCTAGACTCTTGCAGTTGCCCATGGCTTTCCTCAGTCCCTCGTATCCAAGGAGATGCCTCTGAAAGGGAATCCTGGCCTCCACTCAGGTGACATTCCTGCTCCCAAGGGAGATGGGTGATCCACTGAGGGAGATGCAGGGGAACATGTCACTCAAGACTTTGAGATCGGCAGCTAGGCTAGTCCCATTTAAGTGGCTGAAGAGCACCCGATGTTGTGTGCCACAGATGGCTTCCTTCTATAAGGACAATGAAAGAAAAGGCAGGCTTGGATGATGATACACACCTCCAAAGTTATCCTGAATGAGCCCCCAAAGATGATGCTGGGCTTCTTGTTCACAAAGCTGAAGAATGAGCTTCATAAACACTCAAGGTAGGAGAGCAAGGTACAGGTTTTTACTTAGACATAAGGTGAAAGGACAGAGCTCCCGGCTTATGCCAGGAGGGGATAAGAGAGTCCGTGGTGGTGCATTGTCTAACGGATTTTATAGGCAGTTGAGGATATTCGGGAATGTGAAAGAGTTTAGGGGTGTGGACTTGTTAAGTGGTCCCTGAATATTAAAAATTAACTTAACATAAGGAATTTCCTGCCTTGATTTCTCTCTGGGACACCGGCGCCTTGGTCTGGGAGCATATTAAAAGGCTGCCTGCCCAGCCCCCAAGGTGGGCTGAGGTATTGTCTGTTTGCTAAAGAATCCTGCCTCTTAAACTTCCTGGGTGTTAAAATGCAATCTTTTAATGTGGAATTCTTCCTGCCTTTTACCATGTCATCTACAGCTGAGTCTTCATGCTGTTAGTTGCTCAGTTTGTAAAATCACCTAGTCAGATCTGAAGGAGGAAAGACAGCACATAGGCCTGGGCCTTTTAGCATGCTAAAGTGAATCTTACACATGGTTACAAATGATTAGCATAATAAAACATATGCTACTCTTCTTTATCTGGGGAACATTAACTGATTTCAGTGAAGAATGATTCTAGAGGTTAATGTTTAACATAGATTTTTAGCAGGGGGAGTTTCCTTGCATGTAGTTACATTGCTCTGACTGCAAATATCCCACCCTGCCTCCTCCGGAGGCCCTCACCCTACTCTGACTACATCCACGGTCCCTGTCTCACTAGCATTTTGTGGACTGGAAAATTTATTAAATATTTTTTTTATTTTCTAGAACTATAGTCTTCCTTATAGTAAAATTTTCAATGTAGCACAAAGCATGCTTACTAATAGACCCACATATTTTTAGTTCTTCTATAAGAGGAAGCCAAAATTTGCTAAACCTATATTCAGCAGTTAAAGTTTCTGTTATTTATCTTACTTGGAAATGATATAATCAATGAATATCCATTATTTAACTTAGTATAAACTTTAATGTTTGCGGGTAAAATTGAAACATTTCCAGAATATATCACCTGGCTTTAGTATATCTGCATATCAATAGGCATTCAGAGGTGGAAAGAACTGTGGCTTTAGTGTATTTGCATCTTTCCTCAGGGATGGAGAAGTTCATCTCCATATCAATGGGTGATTACCTGGGCAACCGAGGGCTTATCTGTACCTGACAGGTGAGTGGGAAGGGGGATGTTGCTGTTGCTTGAGCAGGAGAAGAAAGATGGCTTGGGACTGCAGTTTGTGAGCAATAAACGGGTTTTAAACTTTATTTCTCCCTTTGACTGATTTTGGTTTTTATGAAAGGGCAAGCTCCTGGATTCTACCTCAGCCAATCAGGAACTGGGTTCTACCTCAGCCAATCAGGACCCAGGGTCTACCTCAGCCAATCGGGACCCGGATCCTATTTCAGCCAATCGGAGCTTAGTCTCTCTCTCCCCTCCAGTCAGCAAGAAGTACAACCATCACCACTGGACCCTGCCAACTGACCAGAGCCATTGCCATCACCCCCCCAACTACCCCCAGACCCTGCCAATCAGCCAGGGCCATGGCCATCAGCCCCCCAAACCACCCTGGAAACCTATAAAACCTTTGTTCTGGGGAAAATGTGGGCTCTCTCTCTCTGGCACCTGGCCACTGCGTTGGCACGGGTGTGAGATTGAACTCGGGCTAGCTCGAATAAAGGCTCCTTGCTTTTGCATCCGTGTTGGCTCCTTGGTGGTCTCCTTGGGATTCGTGACTTCAGGCACAACATTTGGGGGCTCGTCCGGGATCCCACAGACTCTCAGGACTCCCGACCTGGGGGGCCTAGTGCCGGCTGGTGAGTGCACTCAGTTATCTGTCTGTCTTCATCTATCTGTGTCTCACTGTTTTTGTTCACGAACAAGCCTGTATAAGCCTGTAGGAGCTCCAATCTGTATCTGGGTCAGCATTGACTTAGGCAGACACGCTGGCGGGTCGCCGACTGGGGGTCTTGGGAGACGTCCCTTGCCCCCACCTGGAGGACGAGGTCCTCATCTGTGAGGAAAGTTGGCTGCTGCTGCAGTCCAACAGACCCTCAACTTACTTTCAGTTTTGCCTCCGTGGCCATGGTAGATGCTTCTCTGTAGGTGCCTGTTTGTTGGCTATTGTGTTTATCTAAGTCTTGTTGTTGATGGAAGAAATGGGACAGACGCAGAAGACTCTTTTATCTCTCATGACAGACCATTTTTCAGATGTTAGGGAGAGAGCTCGCAATTTGAGCATGGACATCAAGAAGGGAAAGTTTCGTGTTTTCTGCTCCTCTGAGTGGCCATCTTTTAACGTTGGATGGCTGCCGGAGGGAATTTTTAATCTAACCACTCTCTTACAGGTGAAAGGTGTTATCTTCAGGAAAGGAGCCCAGGGCCGTCCCGGCCAAATTCCCTATATCTTAGTCTGGCAGGATTTAATTGAAAACCCTCCCTCTTGGCTTAAACCTTTCCTTCCATCCAGGACAGACCCCACACCCAAAGTCTTAACCCTACAAGGTCCAGTCCCAAAGTCTCAGAGAGACTCAGAACCTAAAGAAACGAAACCATCCCTTTACCCAGTTCTGCAGGACACCAGCTCAGAGGAGTTGATCTTTCCACCACCCTATCAGCCCCTCCCAATCACCCCACTGGCAGAGCCAGTGGAACAAGGTGGAGGGGAACCAGTTCTGGAAGAACCAGTTCCTGTTCCTGTCCCTGAAGGAGGAGCACCTGTGCACGGACCTGTGGCAGGGATGCGGTGTCAGGTCCATTGGGTGGCCCTCAGTCAAGGGCCTGCTGACTCAACTGTCCTCCCCCTGCATGCTGCAGAGCCCCCTAATGAAACAGGAGAACGGCCAATGCACTATTGGCCATTCTCCACTAGCGACCTCTATAACTGGAGAACTCAGAATGCTAAGTTCTCAGAAAACCCCAAAGATCTTATTAACCTCTTAGATACTGTTCTTTTTACCAATCAGCCCACTTGGGATGATTGCCAACAGATCTTACAGGTCCTTTTTACCACTGAGGAGAAGAGAGAAAGGATCCAGGTGGAAGCCAGGAAGTCAGTTCTGGGAGACAACAGACAGCCCACCCAGAACCCAGAGCTCATAAATGCTTCTTTTCCCCTCTCTCGTCCAAACTGGGATTTCAATTTAGCAGAAGGTAAGGAGAGACTCCAGGTCTATTGCCAGACTCTATTGGCAGGTCTCAGGGTGCCTGCACGAAAGCCCACTAATTTGGCTAAGGTATATAATGTTCAACAAGGCAGGGAAGTAAGCCCAGCAGCATTTCTAGAGAATCATGGAGGCTTTTAGACAGTACATCCCCATAGATCCTGAAGCTCCAGAGAACAGAGCTGCTATAGTTATGGCTTTCGTTAACCAAGCCGCTCCAGACATAAAGAGAAAGTTACAGAGAGTAGAGAGATTAGGAGAGAAGAACTTGCAGGACCGGTAGTGGTGACAGAAAGAGTTTTTAATAATCGAGAGAGCCCAGAAGAACTACAGACAAGAATAAACGACTGCCAAACTCGAAACTTGGCTAAAATACTGCTGGCTACGACTGCAGAGAGCCCTCAGGACCGACAGAGACACCTTAAGAAACTGGCTACTGGACAAGGTAAGGAAAACCTCACCTGAGGGAACTGCCCCAAGTTAAATAAGAACCAGTGTGCATATTGCAAAGAAGAAGGCCATTGGGTCAAAGACTGTCCTAACAAAAGACCCAAAAAGGCCCCCATTACTATCCTGGGTACTGAAGGCATTGATGACTAGGGGTGACAGGGTTCGACACCCCTCCCAAAGCCCAGGGTAACCCTAGAAGTGGAGGGGCATCCTGTAGAATTTCTTGTGGACACCGGAGCTCAGCACTCTGTTCTATTAAAACCCCAGGGAAAATTGGCTGATAAAACCTCATGGGTACAGGGAGCTACTGGGATGAAACAACATTCATGGACTACCCGAAGAACAGTGGATCTCGTCAGGGGCCAGGTATCCCACTCGTTCATGGTCATCCAAGAATGCCCCTACCCCTTATTAGGCCGAGACTTTCTCACCAAGGTGGGGGCACAGATCAACTTCCACCAAGAAGGGACAAAAATTCTAGACAAAGAAGGACAGCCAATACAGGTGCTCACTATAAGCCTCAAAGATGAGTACCGCCTGCACCAGGGACCCTTATCACCAATGCATGACTCAGAATATTGGTTACAGACATTTCCCCAAGCTTGGGCCGAGACAGGGGGAGTGGGATTAGCTCAACATAGGCCAGAAATATTTATAGAACTGAAATTGGGCGCGGATCCAGTCAGGGTCTGACAATACCTGATGCTACTTGAGGCAAAAGCTGGAATCACCCCACACATTAGAAGATTACTCGAGTTGGGCATACTGAGACCTTGCCAGTCAGCATGGAATATCCCCCTATTACAAGTCTGAAAACCAAATTCAACTGACTGTCGACCAGTCCAAGACTTGTGTGAGGTAAACAAGCGGGTGATGGATGTACACCCAACGGTCCCAAATCCGTACATCCTCCTCAGCTCATTGCCTCCTACCCAAACCTGGTATACGGTCCTATATTTAAAAGATACCTTTTTCAGCTTGCCCCTAGCACCTAAGAGCCAAGACATCTTTGCCTTCGAGTGGACAGATCCTGAAAAAGGGATTAGCGGCCAGCTCACCTGGACCAGGCTACCCCAAGGGTTCAAGAACTCACCCACCATCTTCGATGAGGCCCTACATGAAGATCTAAGTGAGTTCTGATCTAAACATCCAGAATTAACTCTTTTACAGTATGTAGATGATATCCTGGTAGCCACTGAAGACCAGGAGATATGCCTGCAAGGCACCAAGGACCTGCTTTCTACACTAGGAGCCTTGGGTTACTGAGCCTCGGCTAAAAAGGCCCAAATCTGCAAGACAGAGGTAAGCTACTTAGGCTATAAATAAAAAGGGGGACAGAGATGGCTCATGGAAGCAAGAAAAGAGACTGTCTTAAGAATATCACACCCACAAAATGTCTGCCAAATGTGTGAATTCCTAGGGTCTGCAGGATACTGCCGATTGTGCATCCCAGGTTTTGCAGAAATAGCTAGACCCCTTTATGAAGCCACCAAAGAAAAACAGGAGTTTACATGGACAGAGACTATGGAAAACTCATTCACTAGACTGAAGCAGGCCTTACTCTCTGCACCTGTGCTGGGGCTTCCTGATTTAACTAAACCTTTCTACCTATACATAGATGAAAGTAAAGGAGTAGCTAAAGGAGTGCTGATACAGTACATTGGCCCTTGGAAAAGGCCCATAGTTATTTTTAAGTAGACATACCATAAAGCATATTGTAAGGTAAAATCGAGCCAAAATGACCATGCGAGGAGGCAACAAAGGAGCCAAAAGTTTAATAGGGCACAATTCCAGGTGATGTTCACTAGTCTGGTTAGTCACAGGCTGGAGAAGTTGTGTCCAGCAGGGCAAGCAGTGAGTTTATAAAGAAGTTGTGGGAAGGGAGATCATAGACCTACAGTGGCACAAGGATTGTCTAGCCTAAGGCAAGTGTCATTGGACTTTACAGTAGACAAAGGACTAGAAAGTTACTACTCCTTTTCCATGTTGGGAGGGGGCAGCAGCCAGGGATTATAGCATGTCATCAGGCTGGAATCTGTTGGTCTCTTTCCCTTACTAGGCCAGGATTTGGGGCTTTGCTGCCGCCTTTCCTTATTTGGTGAGAGCTGAGCTCTTCTGATGTGCTCACCCCTCCCTCCGGTGCCTCCAGCCTTACATTCCAGCCTTTTGGTTATAATGGGTGCCAACTCAATCTGGCTACTTCTGGCTGAGAAGGGGTGGTGTGGACAGGGTTAAGGCTGGTGGGAGGCCAGAGGAGGCTTGGAGGGAATGGGAAAGTATTGATGTACCGACATAGTCTTGTGCACCTCTACCATCTGACCTCTCTATTGGTGGCCAGAGGTTCCAGCAGATATGTTGTCCCTGTCTCTCAGGACAGACATATCCAGCATGATTAACCAGGCTTCGCCCCATCCAGTACTGTTGTCCAGAATATGAGAGACAGGCCAAGGGTTGTTCATAGCAGGCAGCCTGGACGAGGAAATGGGTGGGACAAGGAGGTCTCTTTCCTTGGGGATTTGGTGGAGGGCCTCATACCCAGCAAATGGTCTTGCCGACTCCTCCTGGGCAGCCAGTTTGGAAATCTCTTAACATTATAGCAGCCCAATACAATTTTTCTCCTGCCAACAAGGTACTTTTTGAAAGTAGCATGTCAGGGGGACCAATTGGTGTAGTTGGAGCATACCCAATATGACACACTGGTTACAGACCCAGTTTTTCCAGAGTCGGATGAGTTGTTATGGCCAGCACCAGTGCAAGTAAGTGAAAATGGAGGGGCCCTGTCTCTCTAGACCTCTACCTATCATGACTGGGCCCTCGTTTGAGCCTGGAGATGTGGTACCACCAGGAGTGTCCCAATAGCTTGGCAGCCATGGGAGTAGTAAGGATCACCATGTGTGGTCCCATCCACCATGGTTGGAGTGACTGAGGTTGGAGTTCTTTTAGAAGGACTTTGTCTCCTGGCTGTAGAACCTCCATGATTCTTGGATCCAAGGAGGAAGTGGGTTGAGGCAGGAACTGGTCTGAGTGTCCCCTAAGATGTCTTAGGAGTGAGAAGTAAGGGAGGTAGGAGGCTAAAGGAGGTGGAGTTGTAGGCAGGCCTGTGTTTAGAAGGAAGGATCTACCATACATTAACTCAAAGTCAATTAGTCTGGTGGGTCCCCTAGGGGCTGCTCGCAATTGGGTGAGAGCAATTGTGAGTAGGTCTGGCCAGAAGGTCTTTACCTCTAAGGAGAGTTTGGTAAATTGATCTTTGAGAAGGCCATTGGCCCTTTCTACCTTACCAGAGGATTGAGGGTGATAGGGTATGTGTAGTTTCCAGGAGATATTTAGAGTCAGCCACCAGTTGTGTGACCTTTGAGATGAAAGCTGGTCTTTTGTCCTACTGAAGTGACATCAGGAGGCCAAAATGAGTGATGATGTGTTCCACCAACGTCTTTGCCACCACCAACACAGTCTCTTGGCAGGTAGAAAAAGCCTCGATCCAACCTGAAAATGTGTCAACCATGACCAGTAAATATCTGAGCTTTTTGTGTCTGAGTATGTGGGTAAAATCAATCTGCCAATCCTGTCCAGGTAGCGCTCCCTGCAGCTGGTGGGGGGCCGCATGGCATTTGAGGGCGCCTTGAGAAGAAACATGATGATAGGTGATGCGAGCCATATGTATCCAGTTAATGGTCTTTTGGAGCCCAGGTGGGGCAAATATAGGGAAGAGAAACCTTTTTGTAACCTCCAGACCTATATGGAGGAATTGATGAACTGTAGATATGATTTCCCTGGCCTGGACCTGGAGAAGGGCTATCCTGTCCTTAAGATGTATCCATCCCTGTTGTTCGGCCATTCCACCCTGGTCTAAAAGTTGTTGTTTTTCCTCTTTGGAATAATTAGGAGTTATAGAGAGGGAGAAAAACAATACTGGGGAATAATCAGGACCCGAGGTTAGTTTTCAGGCAGTAGCATCAGCTAGAGCATTCCCTTTAGTGACTGGGTTGGTACCTGTCTGGTGTCTCCAGCAATGAACAATAGCCACCTTCTTGAGTTCCTGTAAGGCCTGGATTAGGTGATGAATTATTTTACCATTTACAATCAGGGTCCCTCGGGTAGTGAGGAATCCCCTTCCTTTCCAGATTGCCACATGGCTGTGTGTGATTAGGAAAGCATACTTTGAGTCTGTGTAAATGGTTACCTAAGACCTGCCAACAACTGTAAGGCTTGGGTGAGGGTTACTAGTTCTGCTTTATGGGAGGTGGTCCTCATCGGCAGGGGTGCCACCTCCACTATTTCTGAGGAGGAGGAAACTACCGCATAGGCTGCCCACCTGCACCCATTTGAATCCCTGACTGAGCTTCCATCCATGAACAGAGTTAAGTCTGAGTCAGTGAGAGGTGTGTCCTGGAGACCCTCAAGTGGGAGTCAAAGGGTTTCTACCAGTCCCATGCAGGAGTGGCTGGGCATGGCAGATGAACCTGTGGGAGGAAGGAGGGTGGTTGGGTCTAATGATGCTGACACCTGTAAAGTTAACTGAGGGTGTTCAATAAATAGGAGGTGAAATTCCTGCACTCGTGATGGGCTGAAAGAGGCCAAAGATTTGTGGCCTAGAAGGTCCTGTAAATGATTAGAAGAGTATACGGTTATCGCCTGTAGGAGGGTTAGTTTCAGAGATTCTTTGGTGAGGCATGCTCTCGCTGCCAGAGCTCTAAGGCAGGGTTGCCACCCCTTAGCAGTAGGATCCAGTTGTTTTGACAGGAAAGTGACTGGTTGGTGTCTGGGTCCTACTGGCTGGACCAGCACCCCATTTGCTATTCCCGTCTTTTCTGTTGTACATAAGGGAAAAGGTAGTGTTTGGCATCATAAGCGGGGGTGAGGAGAGGAGGGCATTTCACAGTTCTTCAAAAGCATGGGCCACTGCTGTAGGACAGGTGAGTGGCCCAGAGGGCATTTCTTTGGCAGCAGCATACAGAGGCTTAGCTAATAAGGCAAAGATAGGGACCCAGTGTTGGAAAAACCCCACCAGTCCAAGAAACAACAAGATCTCAGCTCCTGAGGTGGGTGGCAGAAGAGCTGTAATGGAGGCTGTTTGGTTCACTGTGAGTGCCCTGGAAGAAGGAGTTAGGGCCACTCCAAGGTATGTAACTTATGGGGTAGATAACTGAGCTTTTGATGGAGAGACTCTATATCCCTGCTGATCCAGGAAGTTTAGGAGAGAAGCTGTGTCCTGAACAGAGGCCTCTTTTGTGGGGCTACATAGGAGGAGATCATTGAAATGTTGGAGGAGAGTGCTGACTCCTATGTCATGATGGGACAGATCTTCCACCAGTGCCTGTCTGAAAAGGTGAGGACTGTCCCTGAAGCCTTGAGGGAGGACTGTTCAAGTTAGTTGTCTAGTTTGGCAGGTGTCTGGGTCCTCCCAGGTAAAGGCAAATAGTAACTGGGAATTGGGGTGAAGAGGGATGGTGAGGAATGCATCCTTAAGGTGGGAGGTGTCTGGGGGAACCTGAAACAAGAGAGTATGAGGGTTAGGGACGACCGGGTGAAGGGGGACTACAGCCTCGTTGGTTATCCTCAGGTCTTGAACGAGCTGGTAGGCTCCCGATGGCTTCTTGGCTGGAAGGATGGGGGTGTTACAGGGAGAATTAGTTGGTACTAGAAGCCCTTGGGGAAGAAGATGGTTAATGATAGGTTGGATACCTTTGTGATGGGCTTGGGAAATAGGAAATTGGTGCCTAGTAGGAAAGGAGGATGGGTCCTTGAGGCAGATGAGGACCAGAGCATGATGGCTCACCACTACAGGAGTAGAGGTATCCCAGACCATCAGGTTAACATCAGTCAATGGTACAAGAGGGTCTGCAGAGACCTCAGGGTCACAACTTATACTGGCTAGGGCGATGAGTGAACTCAGTTGGGGATGACTGAATGGCAGGGAGATTGAGGCACCAAGCTTGGATAGGAGATTCCTCCCTAACAAAGGGATGGGACAGGACAAGATGACTAGAAATGAGTGGGTAAGAGGATGGCCCTCAAATGTGCAGGCCACCAGACCTGTCTCCAGAAGCTTAGAGGGGATTCCTGTGACACCCACAACCAAGACCTGGGAAGGATATAAACGACTGTGAAAGGAAGGTAAAACAGAGTAGGTAGCCCCTGTGTCTACCAAAAAGGAGGCGAACTTACCCATAGCCACAGCGTGGCCCTGGGCTTGGCAAGGATGATAGGGGTGTTCGAGTCTAGGCAGCTTCAGTCTTTGAGTAGGCACAGCAGGTCTGGAGGGG